CGGGGGGTGGGGGCGCGGGGGTGGGATGTGAAGGGAAACCTGGAGAGGAGTTGCGAGGTGAGGACTGACTTCGATAAAAACGTAAACAACAACAGCAAAACCAGAACTGTAAGCTGCTATGTTTAGATTTTACGACCAGTCCTCACACCTCTCCCCAGCTTCCCAGACCCCTGGTCTTGGCCCACTTTGCCACCTGTGAATTGATTTTATGGCTTAAATAGTGCTGAAATCTTGGGACTAGCAGTTAGCGTAATGGCTATGTCGCTGAACTCCCACGTAGTCGACTGCGGTTTGAGTCCCAGACCCGGTGGCTTAAACACGCTGGGGGCGTGTGCATGCGTGCCCAAGATCCCAAGAGGAGAATGGAGGAGAAGGGATTGCGGCATGGCCATCCCCCCTGGGGGGGTGATTTCTCGCTTTCTGTCTCTCTCTCTTTCTGGCGAGTGCATTCGCCCTATAACAACAATAACAAAAACCCTGTCAAAAAAAAAATTGTGCTGAAATCTTGGTGGCCAATCTGCCTCCACCCTCAGCCACAGAGATCCCTTTTTTGGAGGGATGACTCGAGATGAAGATGAGGATGATGAGGAAGAAGAAGAAGGAGCTACATGGGACCATAGGAGCCCAAGGTTTGACGGTCCCCAGCCTCCGGAGGAATTTGGCTTCAGCTTCAGCTTCAGCCCAGGAGGAGGGATGCGCTTCCATGACAACTTCGGCTTCGATGACTTAGTGCGGGATTTCAATAGCATCTTCAGTGAGATGGGGGCCTGGACCTTGCCTTCCCACTCTCCTGGTGTGTGGCTGTCCCTGAGGGAGAACCCATGGCTTCTAGTGGGTTGGTGGGTGAGATAAGCAAGGAGTAATTGGTGGATGAGAGGTGTAAGAAAACTGATGAATGATTTCAGGGAGAGTTAAAGAGCCTGAGTCCTTTCCCACTCAAGCATCCATCTGCCCACCTTTCTGCAGAACTTCCAGGTGTTGAGTCAGAGACACCTGGTGAGAGACCTCGGGAGGGACAGACACTCCGGGACTCCATGCTTAAGTATCCAGATAGCCACCAGCCCAGGATCTTTGGGGGGGTCTTGGAGAGTGATGAAAGAACTGAACCCCCAAAACCAGCACCAGACTGGGGCTCCCAGAGACCTTTTCAGAGGGTGAGTACCCCTCCTAGGCTTGAAGTGAGCCTGTGAGAGAACACTAAGAAAGTGCAAAGACTGGACTCTGATAAACTCGGGTTGGAATCGCAGGCCCTCCACTGAATGTATTTATATGTTCTATATTAAACTTCTGACAAGATTTTCTTTGGGGAAAATAGGAGTTCTGCTAGGTTTTTTAAAAGGAAAAAAGAAAAAAAACTGCTGTTATACATGATTCTTGGATAAGGCAGGATTGTTGGGGAAGGACAGGAAAATACCAGTTCAGGGAGGCCTTTTGGTAGAAGGATACATAAAACATCCACGAAGGAGGCAGTGGGTAAATGAATTCTTTCTCCTGGGGAAAAGGGCTTAGATTTGGGGATAGTTTGGGGTCTATGACCCTTCAAGTTGCAGCTTGGAAGGTGATTTTTTAACCTACTATGGCTTCTTCTGCAGTTTGATGATAGATGGCCTGTGACCCCTCATCCTAGAGCCAGAGAGGACAATGGTGGGTGGCAGGAGGCGCTATTTATCAACCCTCTGTGATGGTCCAGAAGTGCTATTTGTTTTCCCTCCCCGAAGTTTCTTCCTGCCACTCCTGTCCCCTTTAACCCACTAGATTCTTTCTCTCCTGGTTCTTGATCTCTGTTCTTCCAGATCTTGATTCCCAGGTTTCCCAGGAGGGTCTTGGCCCAGTTCTACAGCCCCAGCCCAAATCCTATTTCAAGAGCATCTCTGTGACCAAGATCACTAAGCCAGATGGGGTGAGTTGACAGAAAGGTAAAGGAAACTGGGCAGGGAATGCCCTGGAACAGGATCTGTGCAGCCACTGAATGCACTTCAGTAATGTTAGCAATATGGTGGGGGCTTCTCCTTGTAGATAGTGGAGGAGCGCCGGACCGTGGTGGATAGTGAGGGCCGAAGAGAGACCACAGTAACCCGTCAAGAAGCAGACCGCAGTACTCAAGATGGTAAGTTAGGAGTATGCATCAAAAAAAAAAAAAAATGTATGAATCAAAGAGTGTATGTCTTAACTCCTTGGGGAAGGGAGACTCTAACTGTTGTACCCTTTACTAGTATTTCTGTCCTTCAGCTTTGTCTAGTTTCTTTCCTTTAGCCTTGTGTATGATTTTATTCCTTAGACCCAGAGTCACCAAGACCTCCAGCCCTGGATGATGCCTTTTCCATCCTGGATTTATTCTTAGGACGTTGGTTCCGGTCCCGGTAGCCTTCAGGTCTTTTCTGCCTCCCACCCGTTGCTCACCATCACCAGACTTAGCTCGTTCACCTGCCATCTCAAGGACCTGGGTGTGTGGAACATGAATTGGGGGTATGTCAGTATGTCATTCACCCAGACTGACCAATAAAACCTTTATTTATGCTAATTCCTTGGTCTTGGTTTTGTGAAGGTTATTTTATTTCCTAGAACCTTTCACAGCTTTCCAAATTATCTTAGGCCACAACCTTCTCCCTATTTCTTAATTTTGGTTCTATTTCCAAAGTAAGGATAATAAGGATAAGATAACCAGCAGACAGTTCTTTTCACTAGGCTATCTCCTGTTGCCTCGTGGTTAAAGCAGCCAGAGCCCACATGGCCAACCCTGAGACTTAAGTCCCAGACCTAGCAGCTTGAGAAAGACCCTGGGCACATGGGGCCAGCAGGTGGCATGGTGGTTAAGGGCACTGGACTCCCACATGACTGACTGTGGTTCAAGTCTCAGACCTGGCAGCTTGCTTTCTCACTTTCCTTCTATCTCTCTCTCTCTCTGTCGTTCTGCCTCTCTCTTGTCAAATTTAAATAAATAAATAAAATAATTCTTTAAAAAAAAAAAAAAAAGACCCAGGGCGCTTGTGTGTGCATTCCTAAATCCTGAAAAGAGGGAGAGGTGGAGGAGAAGGGATTGTGACTTGACCATTCCTCATGGGGGATGCGTTCTTCCAATCGCTTTCTCTCTGTCTCTGGTAAACATATGTGTCCTCCATGGCAAAATTTAAAAAAAAAATTATTTTTCCTTACTGAAAAGATAACTAGAGGTAATTCTAGGAAAATTTCTAGATAGCCATGCACCAGAGGGACCAGCAGGTGGTGTAATAGTTAATGTCGTTGGACTCCCATGCAGTTGACCACAGTTCAAGTCCCGGACCTGGCAGCTTCAAACTCATGCCGGGTGTGTGCCCAAGATCTTAGAGGAGAATGGAGAAGGGATTGCAATATGCCCACTTCCCCCCTTAGGGGTCACTTCTCTCTTTCTGTCTCTGTCTCTCCAGTGACTGCATGCACCCTATAGCAAAAATCTCTGTCAAAAAAAAAAAAAAAAAGAAGTATGCACGGGATCAGCAAGTGATGTAATGGTTATTTCGTTGGATATTCCCACTAGTTGACTAGACCTGGGGGCTTAAAAGTCACACCAGGCACCTGTGCATGCCTGCTCAAGATCCCAGGAGGAAAATAGAGAAGGGATTGCAGCATGGCCATCCCCCTAGGGGTGAACACCTATACCCTATAGCAAAAGTCTCTTAAAAAGAAAACAAAAAAACAGTGTGCCTATGCAGAAGTATGGGATAACTCTCTCTCTAAGTTTTGGAACACAGACTGGATAGTTGATGTGGTAATTTGAGGGAGTACATGGGCACTGCAATCATAGGGGCCAGGTATTAACACAACTAAACCCACATGGGAAAGATCCTGAGTTCAGTGTGCTGCTTTGAGCACACTGGGCATGCGTGTGCATCTGTGATCCAGGTGGCTGAGATGGGGAATGGGGGCATAGATTCTGCAAGAAGATCCTGTTAGAGGCCAGCAGGTGGCATAGTGCTTAAGGTCCTGAACTCCCACATGGCCAACTGCTGCTTGAATCCTGGACCTGTAGACTTGAAGATCATATTGGGTTTGTGTGCAGGTGTGCCCCAAATCCCAGAAGAACGGAGAAGAGATTTTGGTGTGGCCACCCCCTGGGGGTTGATTTCTCACTATCCCTCTTGCTATCTATCTCCTGAGAGCTCACATACCTTATAGCAAAAATCTCAATAACAAAAAACAAAAATGCTGTGCATTGGAAACGAGGTCCTTCATGGCCAACTGCAGTTCAAATCCCAGCCTCAGTGACTGGGCACATTTTTGTATATGTCCAAAATCCTGATGGGACAGAGAAATGGAAAAAAAAAAAAAGATTGGGATGTGACCAGTACCTACTGGGGTGCAAGGCAGTGCTTTTTCTTCCTCTCCCTGCCCTTGTCACGATAATAAAAATTAACTTAAAAAAACTTCAAGGACCAGCAGGTGCCATGGTGGTTGAGGCACTAGACACTCCTTCATGGTCAACCACAGTCCAAATCCTGGACCTGGTGGCTTGCTTTCTCATTTTCTGTCTGTCTCTGTCTTTTCTCTGGTCAAATTAAGAAAAAAGAATGAATGAATCAATAAAAATTAATTATTAAAAAATAAACTTAAAAAATAGGGTAGAGGGGGCTGGCAGGTGGCGTGGTGGTTGAGGGTGATGGACTCTCACATGAACGACCATGGTTTGAGTCCCAGACCTGGCGACTTACTTTCTTATTTAATCTCTCTCTCTTGTTCTGTCCCTCTCTGGTCAAATTTAAATAAATAAAATTTTTTTAAAACTGCCTTTTCCATAGGACCAGCGCTATGTCGCTGGACTCCCACGTAGTTGACCGCGGTTGGCGTCCCGGACCCAGTGGCTTAAACTCACGCCGGGCGCGTGTGTGTGCATGTCCAAGATCCTGAGGAGAATGGAGGAGAAGGGATTGTGGCATGGCCATCCCCCCTGGGGGATGATTTCTTGCTTTCTGTCTCTATGTCTCTGTCTGTCTGGTGAGCGCACGCGCCCTGTAGCAAAAAAAATAAATAAACTCTTAAAAAAAAAAAAAAGAAAACTACTTTTTCCTTACACTACGTGTTTTGTTTAATTCTTTTGTCTGAAACACCATGAACCTGGATATCATTATAGAAGCCATCCTGCAACAATAGTTCACTCTAATGTGTATGTGTTACTTTATTTGTCATCAAAAGAGCACTTTGCCTAAAAGGACTGACGAATGTGCAAAATATTCACACTCTTGTGAAATTGTCATTTATCATTAGTTTGTAAGTTATTTTTGTTTGTCTTTTAGGTGTAGCAAAGCGAGAGCTTATTGAAGGAGAAGAAGGAAAAACAGCTCCCAAGAAGGGAGGGGTCCTGGAAAATGGGTTGCTGAGGAGGAACTGGGGCGAAGACTTTTATCTGGGTCCCGGGGCCTTGTTCAGGCTTGTTTTCAGGTGGGGCTCCTGCATACATTTCCCTTGTGTTGCGGAGGGGCATGCTGGATGGGTCCAATTCTAATTTTGGAGCGGGTACAGGTCAGAAAATCTTTGTTAGAACAAGATTTACATGTCTAAGGGCAAGGGACTGTGGTGACTAGGAGAAGAGAGGAACTGTCAGGAGCCACGCAGCAGGGCTCTCTCCTCCTGGTGTGGGAGCCCTGCTCCATCTACCCATAAATGAGGTCCAACTCTGGTCTCAAGTCCCCCTCTGAAGAAGTACCTCTAATCGCCGTTAGGGAAATGGGCCAAAGATGGGTATAGAGTAGCATTTGTAGCTTGATGGATTCTAAATGAGAGGAGCAGTTTATTACGATAATGATGTACTAGACAAATTTATTTCTCTTGCATATAGCAACTTAAAGTTAACTTCAAGAATTGTGACTGAGGGACCAGCAGTTAGCGTAATGGCTATGTTGCTGGACTCCCACGTAGTCGCCCATGGTTCAAGTCCCGGACCCAGTGGCTTAAACTCATGCCAGGTGCATGTGCATGTGTGTGCGTGCCCAAGATCCCGAGAGGAGAATGGAGGAGAAGGGATTGCAGCGTGGCCATCCCCCCTGAAGGGTGATTTCTCGCTTTCTGTCTCTCTGTCTCTCTGTCTGTCTGGCGAGCGCATGCACCCTATAGCAAAAACCTCTCCAAAAAAAATTGTGACTGACAGCATCATATTAGTACAATGAGCTTTTAGAACATTTATCAACAAAACCTGAATTTTATTAAGTTGTATAACTGTTAGACTTTCAGTATAACTCAAACCTTCAACAATATGCTGTAGACTTCCAGTTTTTGTCCCTTCTTTGCCCTTACCTTAAACATTTTCCTGAAGTCAAAAACTTTGCTATATAAAGTACTTTCTATAAGGGGCCGGGAGGTAGCCTAGTGGTTGGGGGCTTTGGATTCCCACATGGCCGACTGCAGTTTGAGTCCTGGACTTGGTCGCTTGCCTTCTCACTTTCCCTTTCTCTCGGTCTCTGTCTCTCTCTGGTCAAATTAAAAAATAATAACAACAAATGAAGTAAATAAATATTTAGAAAATTACTTTCTATGTTAAAACCTTTAATCTTTTTACTAAAACTATATTGTTACCTTGTAATCATCCCCCTTTTTTTTTGGAGAGGTTGTTGCTTTATAGGGCATGTGTGCTCACCAGAAAGACAGAGACAGAGAGACATCACCCCCCAGGGGGTATGGCCACGCTGTAATCCCTTCTCCTCCATTCTCTTCTCAGGATCTTAGGCACACGCACACGAACCCAGTGTGAGTTTAAGCCACCAGGTCCAGGACTTGAACTGTGTTCGACTGTATGGGAGTCTAGCAACATAGCCATTACACCATCTGCTGGTCCCATAATCGTCCTTTATTTAGAATGATTTAATTTAACTCATTATCGTCATCTAATTTGACGAGAGAGAGAGACAGAAAAAGAGAGGGAGAGCAAGCCACTAGGCCTGGGACTTGAGCCGTGATCAGCCATGTCGGAGTCCAGCACCTCAACCATAATGCCACCTGCTGATCTCTGCAGTCTTCCTTTTATGTCACCTTTTTCTGCCTTTTTTTTTACTCTTATGAGTATACTTTGAGAAATAACCTCTGATTTAGACAGAAATTTATATATATATATGTATGTATGTGTATATATATATATATATATATGTGTGTGTATAATGCCAAATAAACAACTTTAATTCTTATTTGTCACTTTCAGGGTTACCTGAGACTTGACCAGTGAGATTTCCAGATGTTCAGGGGGAGCCACTGGCGTCTTGGACCCCATCCGTCCTCAATCTCGGAGGCCAGTATGGACTCAGAAGTCCTGAGCTCCCTTTGGAACTCAGGGCATTGCAGTCTCTAGTGATCAGCCTCACAGTGGGGACAAGGCCCCAGTGGGGAACATGAGGATGCCAGTCATGGGCATTGCCCAGTGCCCAGGCTGCCCACATTGGACACAGTCCCTTCTGAGGCAGAAGCTCTGATCTGGGCTTTTTCCATATCCTGCCCTCGGGGAATTTCCAGCCTTTGGAATTATTAGTGACTCTCAGGTGCTCTTTAAATTAAATCAAAGGTTAAGGTGAATTGCCAATTTGTAATAATACTTTTTTGAGTTATCTGAGGACCTTTTTAGATCTGTTCTGATCTTTGAGAGATTCTACACGGAGAGCCTCAGCTCCAGTAGACCCCATACAGGTCGGCTGAGTACTGCCAGGGGGGTGGAGCCAGTTTGCAGGTCGTACAAAACACCTTTTTTTTTTTTTTTTTTTGAGAGGTTTTTGCTATAGGGCACGTGCGCTTGCCAGACAGAGAGAGACAGAGAGACAGCGAGAAATCACCCCCCAGGGGGATGGCCATGCCACAATTCCTTCTCCTCCATTCTCCTCTCGGGATCTTGGGCATGCACGCATACATGCCCGGCATGAGTTAAAGCCACCGGGTTCGGGACTTGAACCTCGGTTGACTACGTGGGAGTCCAGCGACATAGCCATTACACTCACTGCTGGTCCCAAAGCACCTTCTTTATCAGGCATACAAAAGCTCTAGCCAGAGAACACAACATTAATTTAAGCCTTCGTTTTTATGGCTAAACCTCATCATCTCATTTGTATTGAGGTGAGGCCTAGATCTGTCCCAGTCTCTGAGTCTGTAGCCAAGGGGAGAGTCCAAAGGGGAAGAAGTTTAACTGAAGAGAAAACAGAGTGCTGGGAGGCAGGAAGGGAGTTCACCAGGAGCTCTGGCCTTAACCTGCCCCATCCTGTCCCTTGAGACTCCTGCTCAACTGGGTTCCTGGACAGGAGTTTCCTAGCTTTTGTCCTCCTTATAGAGGCCCACCCAAAGCTAGTTCTGGGACCCTCATAGGGCCGCCAGAACGTCTGTCTCACGTGAAGATGGCTGGCCAGTCTAAATCGATCTTTCGCTGCTTGGTAAGCAAGCATGCCAAGGGGGACGCCGGGACACTTTATCCTGGAGGCTGTGTGCGTTGTAACAGGATTTTTTTTAGAGACTCTCCAATGGGAATGTCTTTGGAGAGGATTTACTAAGTGTCCATGTTTATTTCTCTTCTCCCCCCATCCTAGGCAATTAAGTATTTCCTGGAGGAGCTTTTAAACCTGTACCCCTGTATGTAGAATTACATATGACATATCCATATTAACCAGAATTTTAAATTTATTTTTCATAAAGTTCTTTTTTGAGAGAAAGATTTTTGTCATAGGGCACACATGCCCGCCAGAGAGGCAGAGAGAGGCAGAAAATGAAAAATCATCCTCTAGAGAAGATGACCACGCCACATCCCTTCTCCTCCATTATCTTCTCAGGATTTTGGTCATGCACACACGTGCCTGGCGTGAGTTTCAAGCCACCAGGTCCGGAATTTGAATAGCGGTTAGCCATGTCGGAGTCCAGTGATGTAACTATTGCACCATCTGCTGGTCCCCAAATTACAGATCTTCACAATTTATATTTGATCTTAGATAGTGGGCCAGGAAGTACTACATAGCAAGGCTGGCAGGCGGCATAGGGTTCAGACTGCTGACTCCCACGTGGGTGACCACAGTTCGAGTTCCGGACCTGGCGGCTTGCTTTCTCACTTTCTGTCTTCTCTCCACCCCCCCCTCCACCACATACACAGACACACTCTCTCTTTTTCTTTCGCTCTTTCTCTTTCTCTTTCTCTCTCTCTCTCTCTGGTCAAATGAAAATAAGTAAGTAAAGTTAAATAATTTTTTTAAGAAAAGGAAGTACTACATAAGCTTAACGATTTTTTTTTTTTTAGATTTTTTACTATAGAACGTGTGCATTCACTAGAGAGAGAGAGAGACAGACATACAGAAAGCAAGAAATCAACCCCCCCCCCTGGGGGGTGGCCATGTTACAATACCTTCTTCATTCTCCTCTCGGGATTTTGGGCACACAAGAGTTTGCGCCTGGCAAGAGTTTTAAGTTTCCAGGTCCGGGACTCGAACCACGATCGACTTCACAGGTGTCCAGTGACATAACCATTACACTGTCTGCTGGTCCCAGGAGAGAACTTTAAGTCTCAGCGCCTTCCAGAGCCCCAGAGAGTTTGCCCTGAGCAGATGCTTTCAATTGCTCCGAAGCATCTAGCTTCTCTCATGAGGCAGTTGGAGTCCCTAATCCCAGGATCCTGTGGGCCCACAGGGTAGATGAAGAGTGGTTTGACTCTCTTCAATGTGTCGCAGCTAGTTCCCAGATATATACCACTCAGGGTTGTACGTCCCGGGGACCAAGCATGTCCTGAGGAGGAACGCTCCCCTGCCAGTGGATGAGACAAAAACTGCTCTCTAGTGCCCAGATGGACAATTGGGGGTTGTTTTCAGATCCCCAGGGCCTTCAGGATGCTCCAGAGAGTAGCCCTAGAAAGCACCGTCCTTGTCCTAAGAACATTCACTTTCCCAGTGAAGGGTAAAGTTCCAGAAGGGAAACTAAGTCATGAGCCAACCGACATTGCCAGCAGTGGGGCATCCTTTGGCCATTTCTTGGCAAGCCACTCCGTGTCTTCACGACTGGCAGCCACTCTATGGTTTTTAGCTGGCTCACAGAGAACTGGTATTTTAGGTAGAATTTTTTGCTAGGATCAAGAGTATTCTGGAAAAAAAAAAAAAAAAAGATAGAACAGGGGCCAGCAAGTGGCATGGTGGTTAGGGTGCTTTCTCACTTTCTCTCTCTCTATCTCTGGTGAGCACACATGCCCTGTAGCAAGTTAAAAAAAGATGATGATGGGACCAACAGATAGTGTAATGTTTACGTCGCTGGATTCCCATGTAGTCGACTATGATTTGAGTCCTGGACCCGGTGACTTAAACTCACACCAGGCACATGTGCATGCATGCCCAAGATCCCAAGAGGAGAATGGAGGAAAAGGGATTGCAGAGTGGCCATCTCCCTTGGGAGATGACTTCTCCCTTTCTGTCTCTCTG